TGGCATAACTTCATAATTGATTATTGATGCAGCTGGATGATGAGCACACTTGGACGCATGTCTGAAAATGTCCATAATAAAGAGCCAAAAGTTTGAAAAAAATTAAATTTTAAAAGAACAAACAGGTACAGCTCTATTTTCCCATTAGGCAGAAATGGGGACATGGTGAGATTTTTACTTGGAGGTGAAATAAGCAGCATATTATAGCATTCATCTTCTGCACACACAAGGTCGTACCTGTAACCACGGCATGACGACAATGAGCACATGGCCACACACACCAGTCCACCCATCTGGTAGCCAGTCAATTTCTGGAAAGTTGGGGTGAGTAGGTGTGTGTCTCATGCACTGGTAGGGGGCCTGGGTCCACAGGCAGTCCTTGAAGTCTTTGGCCAGGAAGCCAACTGAGGCTACAGCAACCAAAACAAAATTCAGTGGCCTGGTAGTTATGGGACTTGGCACGGGCCTCAAAAGAGGTCCCACCTGTAGAAAGGTCTGAAGATAAGGGAGAGGCATATGTATAGAGCATAAGGCATGGTGCTCACCAGAGTGCTCACCCATGCCCACCAACCAGGGGTCTATATTCTGCTGAGTCCTGCAGAGTGGCTAACATGGATTCCTGATAAACCAGAGATCCAGTAGGTGGCAGCATGACTGGTGCCCCAAGGCCATGGGACTCTCGGTTCTAGCAGATAGCCAATACCATGTACACTGGGTTTATGGTGCTGCAGCAATCAGTAGAGAAGTTTGCCAAAGATGGCATGTCTGGCCAGCAAGTCACTAGTCTTGATGTAAGAAAGCTTGTAGATATCCTAGTCCTGCTGGAGGCTGACTCATGTTTAAGACAGGTGGAGAAGGTCAGAGTCCAGGTGATGTAGGTATAGGCAGCACCCGTCTGAAGCACCATGTGTTTAGCATAGCAACTGTATACATGAGCTCATGTAAAATGCAGCACTAATGTAAAAAAAGCACCAAGGCTATAGGGAGGCAAACGAACATGATATTCTTGTAGCTGAGGGCAGTAAGGGTCCAAAGGGGCTATGGTGCAGAGAGACCAACATGAAGAGAAGACAGACGGCCAAGCACATGTTGTCAGGCAGGCCCAGGTCCAACAGTGAGGACAGACGGCCAAACACATGTTGTCAGGCAGGCCAAGGTCCAACAGTGGCAATGAGAGAGACTTGTGCAGAGTCAATTGGTCTGGTTTATCTCAGAGGATTCCGTTGGCTGCCTTGCTAGACTTCTCCTGACCTCCTTTCCTTTCTCTCTAAGGGTCCCTTCACTCATAAGGTAACATTGCAAAGGATTGGGCCAAAGTTCCTCGTTAATTATCTCAACAATTTTGTCAGACTCAATGGAGCTGTGGTTCGAACACCACTCAAAGAAGCTACAGCTGTTGTGTGGGTTCCCCTGGCTTAGGGACTGAAGATCATGGCCCGGGAGCCATTGGATAAGAGTAGAATGAGACACCACCTGACCCAAAGGGTCACACTCATATTACTTGATGAGCACCTTATTTTGGAAATATGGGTTGCGCCCAAAGTAGAACTTGATCTTGTAGCCCAATCAAGCTAGCCAAATTCTGCCACTTCCAAGCTGGTCAAGTAGCTGAGTGCCTCTTTATTTGGGCTGCTGAGCAAGGATGGCAGCTGAGGGTGGTTCTGAAAGGCTTGTCCCCAGAAGGCCAGGATATTCTGGGGGAGGAGGTTTCTGCATTATAAGTGGTGCAGTAGCAACTGCCCAAACTTGCGTGAGACCAAAGGTAGGCCCTGTCCTCCTGGGCATTCATGGTCTCCACCTTTAGCTGGGCTGTCTCCAGGGTGTCCATGCTACCATCGGTGGCCTGGGGCCTGACCCTACATCCTTCTCCACCTTCTTTGCCTCCTCCACTGAATTGGAGGCACGCTCTCCAGGGGCCCAGGGACCTTCTCCCCACCGCACTGCTGGTTTCTGGAACCTTCTTCCTAACAGTGTCATGCTGATTTCCAATCCATGGGCCAGTTTTCTGCCAAGCCACAGTTCCCTCGGTTCCCACGAAGGCAGTATCTCTTTCCAGGTGCTCCGAGGGAGATGGAGCCCTCCTGGCACTGGCCTGCCTAAGACCCTCTGCAACTGGGGCCCGCAGGGTGACTTTTGGTGCTGGACGACTTTGGGCACTCATGTTCAGTGGATTTCTTCTTGCTGAACAGTTTTGTTTTGTTTTGTCTTGTTTTAAATAAATAATCAGCGGGCTTAAAGGACTTTGAATTGATGCTGGACCATATATTTCTTCAGATGATTACTGACTTCCAGGAAGATGCCATTGCTCGATCAACACATTCTTGCAGAGATTCATTATTTTTTAAAAGATAAGAAACCTTTGACTCTGACTCCAATCAGCAATGTTCAAGAGAGGCATATTCCAGAGGAGGGTTCACACAGATGGTGTAAAAAGATCATCGACAAACCATCTACTTCACTTATCAGCTACCACTGACTGAAGATTCACCTCTAAAATTACTAGAAATAAATCATTGTTCTGTGTAATCAAGACTAATACCTCAGAAAAGAAAATGTAAATTACAAAGTATATTTTCCAATGCAACTAGTTGCTAATCTCTTAAACTAAAAACATTACAAAGAAGCAATCAGCTTGCAAACCATTTGCAGATCTAAAGTTTGTCTATTAACACCTTTTGAGAGAGAGAAAGGTCAAAAGCATCTTTTCAGATTATTTTTATTTTAAAAGAAAATGCCTGAAGCAACGTAATTAACACTAACCAGAGAAATAAAATTTAATTTAGCCTTCATAAACAATATCTAGAGTAGGACTATGCATGGCTCAATATAAAGTTATAAAGTATCAATTCCTGGGTGAAAAAAAGCAAGTGGACCTCTAATGGAGTTCTATAGTATCTTTCAATAATTATATTAAGTTTCTCATGTGATACAGACTCATGTTCTTGACTGAACCATAGAAATAATAGACTTTAGCTTACTTTTAGATTGAAATATATGAGACAGTTGTCCATTTCAGAATAGAGAAATGGCAATTTAGTAAGATTCAACTTAATATCTCTATCCATCTGGTAGCTTCCTGCATTCATCTGGCTTTTTTTTTTTTAAGCTGCAAAGTAATTTCTATCTTGTGAAGATCAGAGTTTCAACTGTAAGAGATCAAAATAAACACTATTCTCCATTTAAACTCAGCAATCTTAAAATAACATCAACAAAAACAGTTTTCTCTAGACTTAGCTTTCTTAAACTCTAGCAGATTCACTATAAGACATTTAAAACCAACGTTTTGTGTGCACATAGAAACAAACTTATTTTCTTAGTGTGGCACTGTAGAATAATTATGGACGCTAACTACAAAGTCAGTGGCTCAAACACTACAGCCGCTCCTCAGAAACCCTATGCAGGGTTACCTTACCATGAATCGAAACTCCATAGCACTAAACAACAACAGAGGAAAAAGTCCTACTTGTAGCAAGTAAAAACAGTGTACAATACAGACATTAAATGACATGAAAAGATTTTATAATTTAATAGTTAAAAAAAAAAACAAGCTAAAAATGGTATGTAGAATATAACATTGATCAAAATTTCAAAACTAAGATGTTGTTGCTGTTAAGTACCATTGAATTGGTTCCAACTCATAGCGACCCTGTGTATTTTCTGAGGAGCAGCTGATGGATTTGGATTACTGACCTTGTAATTACCAGTCTAGTGCTTATTTTACCTAGACACCAGGATTCCAAAAAGAATACATACTAAAGAAAAAAAGCCAAAATGAAAAATCAAAATTATGTTATTTCTAAGTAACGGATTTGTAGATAATCTTTACTTTGTATGTTACAATTTTCTATACTTTTACAAGCTTCTAAATTTTCAGAAAATAAAATTACCTAAATAAAAACTGGAATAGGTGAGACTATATCATTTTATTAGATAAAGGACACAATATTAAAGATTTCAGTTATCCCCAAGTAAACCTAAAAATGTAACGGGAATTTTTAAACACAGGGAAAAGAAAGTATTCTGCATTATCTTTGGAAGGATATATATATATATATATCAAGGAAAATTCTGAAAAAGAGGACTAATGTGTAAGACTATTACTATGACATTAAAGTAGAAAAATTAATTATAGTAGCTAAATTAATACCGTAGAAGTATATAGACCAGTATAATAGAAACGAGAACAAGAAAAGGCAAAATATATTTAAGAAGTTAA